GGGATTTGTTGAAATGGAAAGTCTGGCTTGAACACAGGAAACCGGTCTTGAATTTCTTGCACTCCCTCCCCTTGCCTTGAGACAGGGTAGCAGCACTGACTTTATACTCCTGAGGTTTGGTGGTCCTGCCTTGAGCATGTTACTGACTGACTTGGTGCTACCAGTATCCCCGATCTTAGGGTTTTTATCTTGCTGTCTCTCGAGCACATTAGACTGAAGGAATATTAGTTATTTCTCTGCAAACGCTTCTCCACATTTCCACTTGGTTTAGTAGAAGTTGGTGATAAAGTCTTGCACGGTCTTGTTGCAAATGTCAATTTGACAGCTGTTGGCAACAAAAACTCCCTTTCCTAGCAAATGATGAAAGGGCCGTGCTCTCATATATATTTTTTAAGCTATTCATTTCAAGTCTGTAAGAATGGGGATTTGCAGAAGGCTTTCAGGTCCCCCTGCTGTTTTTCTAGAGAGACTTCATCCTCGCAGCGGAGATGCTATTCTTTAAGAGGTGACGTTGCCTGCAGCACTAGATAGCTGCTGTTTGAGACTCAGTCCTATACTCTAATCTTTCTGCCGATACAAAATCGTCGTCAGAGAGATTTCCATATTGAATTCCATTCTTGAATTAAAAAGGTCACAAAGCTGACTCGGACCGTAGGATGAAGAAGGGATCTTCTTTGTTGTGTCCAGTCCCCCTGTGGTGCAGGCAACTTATACTACTCCCATTCATAAATTTGGTAAACTTTCTGTTAAATTTCATTAGCTTTTTGCTTTCACTGCTCCTACTAGAAGGCTGCTCCAGAACTGCTGATGCTAATACAACTTTCTGTACACGTTAGCTCTTGTGCCAACTTTGTTCTTTGGGTTTGAATAACTTTTTCTCCCATTTACCCTTTAATGTATTTATAGGGATCAGTCGGCACCCCTCAATTCATTTAGTCTTGAAAAGCAAAGACTAAGCTGTTTTTACTCCTCCTCTTGCAGAGGATTTTTGTTTGTAATCTTTCTCTTTCTTAAATAATAAGAACCGTTTGCTACATGGTTTCATCTCCACCTTGTTAAAATACTTGTCACCAGACCTGTGACGTGAGCCAACTGGGATGAAGACTTTCCAGTCCCCTTGACTTGAGTATATTAAGTATTTTAGTTTTGCTTGTGCTGGGATGTGGTAATTTCTGTCACCCTTTAAGCCACCTTGTCGTTGCCCCGTAGCCAACGTCGTCATTTTTATGGAACACTTAAGTATTTGTTGAGTTTTGGGGTCACACCTGGATTATCTTCAGTCTCAACCACAACCTTGCTGCCTAGTAGCCCACTTTCCTTGTCTTCTGTCTGCTCATGTGGCTAAGAAGCTGTCTACTGTATTTTTATATCTTTTGCAAAGTCTTAACTCAGCTTGATTTTTGGCATTTTTCACTTTTTTCCTCCTACCTCCTGACCCCTTCAGATACAGCTAAGGTTCTTGGCTCATTCTCTTTTTCATAGTCCATGTAGATTCTTCTCACTCCTGATGGCATTTCAAGGTGGTTATTCATCCAGTCAGATTTGGAGACCTTTTCTTACAAGTTTTTTTTTCTCTGCTTGGCCTGCAAATCTCAGCCAATTTTTTCTCCATCTTGAACGTAAAGCAGTTCCAGGCTTTCCACGCCAGTTGATTTTGCTGTTGGTTCCCAGAATTTTCCAGAGTTTGCCCGTGTCAAATAAAAAGTCGTAGTTTTAAATTAAACGAAAGGCTAAATAAACTGAATCAGTTCATGAGTTTGAGTCAAGAGATGTGTGAGCCCTCAATTCAACCAGCTGTTCTGTTGTTCCTTGCTGCTTACCAGAACCAGGCCTAATAAAGCAAGGGTGGGCAATTATTTTGGGTGGAAGACCGCTTACTGAGTTTTGGACAGCTATTGAGGGCTGCATGACAGGCAGCCCAGGGCAAATAAATATTAATTTTCTAAATTTTTTAGGGGCCCCGTGGGCCGGAGAGAATGGCCTGGCGGGCCGCCTCCGGCCCCTGGGCCACATTTTGCCCATGCCTGTAATATAGCATCACCTCCTGTTGGTTCAATAGCTGTTTGCTGAAAGGATCTGCCTGCTATTGTAATCAGGAAAAGCCAAAACCTATCATTATTAGTAGTGTTTCTCCCTCTATCAGATTACCTTACCATAAGGACCATGCTGCATAATCTGATAACATTACAGAGTTTATCAATGTCTCAGTCTGACTCTCGGGGTCTAGGGCAGACTCCCAGAACTACCCAACAGATTCTCTTTTCCATCTCTTTCTGCAAGCAGCACTGACCTAATTCTATTGTTTTCTCAATTTTTCCCTTTTTTTTTTTTTTTTTTTGCC